TAATATTCTAAAGCACTGCATACTAATGAGTTCAGACTAAAGGTTCTAACATACTAGATGACTCTTTTAAGCCATCTTTCCATTCATTTCACTAGAAATGCTACCCTTACCAATCCATCTGTCCCACTGTCTGTTTTCCAGTTTGAAAGCGTTATTATACATTTTGGCTATTTGACCTTATTTTCACATTTAGTTCAGTCACAGATCAGGGACAGAGATTATCCAGCACCCTAAATTAACCACATGAAACTCAATGAATTTTGCTATCTATTGTGATAGCAATACTTTCTTCCTTCATATCCCAGTTCCCACGAGAGCCTTTTCCCTTCTCCAATGTCAAATATAATAATCGTCACTGAACACTAAAGCAAATTATTCTTTCAGTTAAAGAGCCATACCTAGTTACTTTTTGTCCCTACTGCATCCTAGCTGCATAGTAATTATGATCTTGTATTACTGGCTTTCTTCTCTATTTATTTCAATTTCATTTTTTATTTTGTAATATATATATAAAAGCATATTTATAGCCAAAAAAGAAGCTTGGCTTCTGGCAATTTTTCAAATTTTTACTGCACCTATCTCTGTTTTTGTATGAACATATATGTGAAAAAAAAGAAAAATAGTATTTTCAACAGCTAGGGATAAGACTAAGCAAACAAGTTTCTATCAATCACATGCCCAAACACTGAAATAACTATTTAAACACCAAACAAAAATTCTGAAAACATAAATAGTAAATATTTCCACTTTATTAAAAGCAAATATTGAGAAAGTAACTAGAAGCTGGCATCATTAAAACAGGAAGGAAGCTGCAGGGCTTTTTACTCTACTACATCTTCTCCCTTTTCATGAGGTTTGGTTTATTATTCGATTTCTGAGTAAAATAGATGAACAGTGTCCCAGTGCTTTTGCTACTCTCAGCCTGCTCACATGACTAAAAAGTTAATGTCAAAATTCCTTTCTGATGCCTCCCTTAGCTCCATCTATTTACAGAATAGATACTTTGCTCTATGGGTAAACCACCCCTTCAATGCCACAAAAGATGGCTCTTACAAACCACTCGGCAACTTTGAGTGAAACAGACCCCTTGTGCAAGATCTGTGTATTTTTAATTCTTATCGGAGGTAAAGTAGGATCCTACTAGCTTGGGTGGTTCCTTGCTGCTTGATCAATTTTCATCTCATGATGCCCAGCATTAGCTCATAGGATTAGCTGATAGTCAATGGTGTGCGAGGCTTGACATAGAAGAGAAAAAAACCCTATTAAATTTGATCTTGCAGTTATCCCCAGAGAACGACAACAAAGTAATTTACCCCCTTATTAAGGAGGTTATTGAGGGCAAAGCTATCTGCATTTAACTACTGCCTGCCTCTTTTGTGCATGGATATTACCTATTAGTGCACCATGTTTTAATGCATTATTAGCCTAAACCCAATATTTGGGGACCTATTATATTGGCAGTTTAGTTTTCATAACTTTGTTCCTGTGAGAAAAAGTAGCGAGAGAAATATGAAGATTAAATTATTAAGATATAATTCATTTTCCTGATTCTAAGGCATGATTCTTTTATGCTGCTTATCCCAGCTAATGAAAGTCAGATTTAATTAGTTTTTGGGATTTGACACAAAAGGGCTTTCTAGCTTTCATAAAGGACTGTAGAAAAACATTTTCTGAAAGCAAAACCTCACTAGCTATTATTTGAAAATGTAAGACAGGAGAAAGATGGGACCAAAGTAGTTAAGCACATAGGAAGGAATTTTTTTAAATATCAACTGAGTTGTATTTTGTCACGATACATTTTTAACAGCAAATATTACAGATATTTCTCTGTCTGAAGACCTCAAAATCTGGCTATAGAACAAAGAATGGCTGAGGCGAAGTTTAGATATGTCAAGGCAATATGAACCTGACTTTTTCTTTTTGGCTCCCTGTCCAGAATAGATTGAGCTAAAACCCCAGGACTTTTGGGGTAAACACCATGACCTTTGTGGGTATCAAAACCTTAGTCCAAATTTTATACTTCAGTTTCATTCCCAGTAATCAATGTAGTCAGGATTCCACTTTTTAATTTCAATTTAAAATATCCAAGGTTATGAATATTTTTCCAGTATCTTTTCTTTTTTTTTTTTTTTGTGTGTGTGTGTAAGGTATTATTTAAACATATTCATATCTTGATGTCTGAGGTTTACTACTTGACCACAACTACATATTCCAACATGAAAAATTAGGGTACATTTACATTTTAATTAACAATCTAATCTAAATTCTTTTATCTTTCACCCCTGTGTACAAGTATTCTCATAGCCTAATATATTTGCATTTATGCACTGCAATTTGCTATCAAACTGCAATGACCTGTGTCCACTGAAAAAATAACTTTAAAATATCAACTCAGCAAACTCTCTACTCTCCGATGTCACTGTTAATTTCAAAAGTCCCAAGGCGCAGGGTTGCAGCATTTGGAAAAAACACTCTACACCACTTTAGGACTGCCAGTATGGTCTGCTGGACACTCTGGCTAAGTTTATGGTAAAATATTAAAAAGCACTATGGCAGAGCACTGGAACTCAACCATCTATGCAGCTAAATAGTCACTGGCATATTTGAGAGTCAATTGAGAGTCAGTTATGACTCCTGCAAACAATTTGCAGGCACTAATGGGAGGGTAGCAACTACTATGTTTTAGAGGATAAAATGATTTTACAATATCAATGTAGCTGTATCAGTTGGGCATGACGCCAAAAAAGGGGTTCTGGTATTGTTTTGTTTCTGTGATAGAGGTAGTTTCTGAGGTCATGGGGAAATGTCATATTAGAGTTGGTGACGTATTTGTTTGGGTGTATTTGGCAAACAATCATCTAAATGCTAAATCACTGCTTTCTGACAACATTTTTTTAAAATAGCAAAAAAAAAGCCATTTTATTCTTAGGGAAAGTGAATGTAGGATTTGAACTTAAAAAAAAAAGCAAAAGATTTTTTTAATTTTAAATAATTTGAAATAAGATTAAAAGGCATATGGAAACTGGAATTTTCAAAGGGATGCATATGATCTGAGTGTCAAACTATTTTGCTGTCATTAAACATCACACAAACCAACATTTATTTACAATTCTTTCAAGCTACAAGGTTAAAAAGGCTCTGCAGGTTACCTTCTAGAAAGATTCATAACAAAAGCCAAGAAATCTCTGTCCTGATAGTAGATGTCATCATTTTTAAATAATGAAAGTTATTTGAGAATTTTAAAAAAAGGAATATCACTGAATCCTAACTAATATATAGGAGCACACATGTACAAAAACTTGCAGAACACAATATAGACAATATCAAGAATAAAATCACTTACATATAAGCTAATGCTGCTTGACTATACAGCAAGGGTTTCCATGTTATCGATTTTTTAAATAAAAAGTTTATCTTAAGGTCATTATTAATGAGAGGGCAGAAAGTTGAATGGAAAATTCAGTAGAATTCTCACTAATTAAGTCCATCTTGGAAAAATGAGCTGAAGGAATGGTGGAATTGGAAAACGTTATGCAACAATGGGCATCATGGCAATGAATAAAGCCAAAAGACAGCAGGCAACATGAGGTGATTTTAACCATAGTGAAATTAGACCTGCAGACACGGGATTATCTGTTTCACCGTACATTTGCACTCTGTAATTATTTAATTATTAGAGAGAAGTAGACAAAGCAGTGTCTCCACATTCTTTTGAGCAGGACAGGTTCTACCCTCTTACTCAAATTTTTGGGGTCCTGAAAAAAGAAAAGCTTGTTGTGTTTCCACTTTGATTTCTGCTGAACTCCCTTTGATTAGAGACCATAAGATCTTGATGGCCATCACTAATAAATGCCTTTACAACTACTCTCAACTAAGGACCAACAGGAGTCTTGGTAGGGGATAGGGATTATTAAGATAAAAATCCAATGAGTAGGATCCTCTGTAAGACCCCAAAAATTCACATTACCTTAAAATATTTAGTGTAAATAATCAAACACAATCTTTTACTTCTTACATCCCACATACAACGGTCAAACTTGTCCACATGGGCAGCTTCCTGCACATGATTTCTGCAACATCATTACTGGTCAATGATCCTAAATGCCTTTGCAAATATAGGGAAGGGCATTTAACAATGCTTTTCTGCCACAATTAATTGTAAGCACTGCTGGGCAGGTAAAGGGATAGATATAGAATGTTTAGGAATCATAGTAGAATTGAAACAAGGTCTATACTGTTCCTCACCAGTTCTGCTGAGAGAAACACAAGGAAGGACCTTTGATTTTCTGCGATTGTCATATATTCCCATTAGTCATCCATATAAATTACAGATCAGTATCTAGCAGTGCACATACTTGCACTTCAAGAAAAAGATTTCACTATAAGCCTTTCTAAATTTTCTCTTTCTCGATCTATAGATGCTTCAGTAAGTTTTAGACTTCATCTTTTACTATTTACTTATTTCTCCACTTTTGTGAACTTGCACAGAAAACTTTGGATTTTTTACATTTACAAATGTAGCCTCACTTTGTAATGAATTTTAGAGGAGAGTGTATGCATAGTATTCAAAAAACTCAACAACCTGGAAACATCACTTGAAGAAAAAATCTGGGGCTGTTTACTTTAACTTGACTTATATATTCTGTAATGGCTCATAAAAAAAAAATCAAAATCTGGGTCTGATGTTATTAAACAGTACTGTACTCAATCAACCATAAAAATGCCTGACTATTCCAATCTCTGGGGAAAGTAGACTTCTTGAGGATTACGCTACAGGAAGCAAGTAATTTATAAAATTAATGTCTTTTACATTTTGTGTGATAGAGGTTTGTGGGGATTCTTTTGACTAGTTAGAACAAGTGGGAGTCTACCAGTGTTTTGGATATGTATGAGTCATTAAGTAGGCAGTATATATTACTATACAGATATTTGCTTTTAATCTAGACTTAATTATTTTTGAGAATACTTGATTTTAAAACAACTTTTTGAACAACACCTACTTGAGGTCTTGGGAAGGTTCTGCTCTGATATGGGGTGTCTCCACAGAGTGCCCAAACACTGCCCCTTCCGTGCCTAAAATACATAAATAAAATACAGTACAATTACTTTGGAAAATAAAAACACATTTAAATGTATGACCACAAATTGACATTTTTAGGACAAAATATCTGATTGAATCCTTTATTAATGATTATCAATGTTTCTTCATATTTATGTTTGCATTTCTATATCAAAATCTGGACCAACATGATGTGAAAACTTAGACTTCTGCTTAGCAGTAGATGATTTTCACATACAAATCTGAAGACATTTATAGATCTAAAGTTTTCAGCACTGACTTGCCTGATTGCTCATCTCAACACTTTGGAGGTGGATCATTTTACAGATAAGGAAGAATCTCCTTCCACCAGACCTTTCTCACTGAATACCTTTGTTCTCCAATAAATTAGAGAGACTTATTTGGAATGTACTTTGGTTTTAGTGTTGGTAGTGGATGCACATGTATCTCCTACTGGGCACTCAAAATCAAAACAAAGAAAATTAGTAACTATTTACTAAAACTGAATTCATTTGCTATTTAATTTTAATTTCTATAACTAGGTCCAAGTTGCGTATGATAATTCTACATTTTAAGTTACATGACCAAGATTTTTCATTGAAAAACTCCTTGTCAATGAAAAAATTAGTGTTCTGATAAATGCTTACTGAAGTTATTTGAAAATAGACAAATATATTTACACAATCCATTTTCCAAATGCAATTTTAAGGATAATGAAAAAAGACCAAAAAAATTTTAATAAAGATCTGATTACAGCAAGTTCTTTGTTAAAATAATAGAAAACTCAAGAAACTGACACATAGTAAACAGCACTATAAAATCAGTATTTCTCTTAACTCTCAGACACAAGGACTGAACACATAACAGTCATTTACACCACTCAATTTACATTTAATGGATAGCAATAGCCTACCTATGTTGTTAGGCATTCCAAAGTTTGTCTTTTTTTTTTTTTTTCCTGAACCTTACTCTCATGTCTATTTTTGTTTACTGATTTGTCCTATGCCATAATTTTTGTCCTCCACATATAAAGTTACTCTAGCTTTTTTTTTTTTTAAATAAAACAAAATTAAAAAAAATTCCATGTGCCTGCAAGCTTTTATTTTCCCTCTCTGAAGATGGTATACTGGGCACTGTGTAATGAAAATAACCTAGAAATATTGTGTGAAAGACTTTCCAACAGAGAACCAACAGTAAAGATGAAAGAACTGAATAAAAATGTGTAAAACGGGTAATACATTTACCTTCTATCACTAGAAATAAGATCAAAGAAACTGTCTGGGATAGTTGTAGCTGATTACTAAATATTCTGTGATTAATTGCTGTATTTCAACAACAGAAATTTTCTTGTGTTCTGACCACTGAATTCTGAGTAAACTTAAAAATATACCAACACTATCTCACAGTAGCTGTGTAAGAAGTGCTCAACACAACAGAGGCACCACTCTAATTGTTACAATATTTTAAATACAAGAAAGTATTTTCAATTATTTAACTAATTTATTTAAATATTTCACAAGTATTTTCAGAAATTTTAGCTGTTAATGGAGACAGATTTTTAGATATTTTTGAAGCTAACCAATAACAATTAGTAAACTGATTTTGCCAGGATTTGAAAGCAGAGTAAGGCTATATAATATTTAACTGATGATACTATTTTATAGTGTTAAAGAGAAAATGTCCTGAGCAAGAAGCCAAAAAACCCCCTAATTAAACATTAAACTAAATTACTGCCAGAAAATCATCATTGTTAGTTATCTTCTAAACTCCACTTTCACTTAAAAATAAAAAGAACAAACAAAAAACCTAAAAAACCAAACCACCCCGTCATTGTAAAATACTCTACTGGTATAAAGTATTCAAGAGAGGAAGAGGAGATTTCTGAGAGTAATGAAGTAATGTTCTAGGTTTTTGTCTCCAGAACTCTGTAAGCTTTACAAATATCTTGGCAAAGCATACCAAAACCAATTTCATTACAACTGCTGCTTTGACGATCTCACAAGAAAACAACCAAATCCAGTTTCTATAACCAAACTTCACTGAGTGTTACGGAGAACCACAGGAGGGAGAAAGCAGCATATCTTTTTACCTAAAAGTATCCACAGAGGTTCTGTGCAGAATCTGCTTTTTAAACCTGACGTTGCCTTGCAATTCTGCTGCCTTTAAGAGAGAGGAATAGAGTGTCTGTATAGCCAGGCTTGCTGTCACTCAAAATAAATCTCACTCCTATCTATAATGGCACGCAAGAAATTCTACTGCAACTGAACACCAGAAACCAAAGAATGTGGTTCCAGATCCCGTTCACCTTTTTCATCAGCAAAATTAAATACTTTCAAGGCCAAGGGCTTTTTGTATTTTTGAAGGTGGCAATAGGATATGAAGATGTAACTAACTGAGCAACACACAGAATTGTCAGTCTTTACTTATGAGAAGACCACAGCTCTAATGTTTGAAAGAGCGGAATTAATACAAAGATATATAAAACATCACTGGAGTACGGGTCAGACACTAAATCAATCAGAAGTGCCAAAGATAATATCAGGCAAAGACTGATGACAAAAGATAAATGACAGCTGGTTCTGAGCCAGTGTTAGTATTTCCTCACTTTCAGCAGCATTTGTTTAAAAATGAGAAGGTGTTTCTCTTCTAACAAAATAGAATTTTGGAAAGAAAGTCCAAGTTCTCCAAGCAGACTGAAAATCCAGGCAGGCAGATTTAAGGATAAACTGATATAATTAAATAAAACAAAATTAAACCAAAACGAACGAGTTCCTTTTTCTTTTTGAGGATATAATCCCTCATATGGTAAGTATAACAGTTCCTGTGGTAAATGCTTTATCCTCAGAAAACGTGCTATCAACAAGTTCAATAATATTTGCTATTCCTTTTATCTTATACTAGAAGAAAAACAGGCACTTACAATTATCTTGTTTTTAGGAAGAAAGGTGAAAAAGATCAGCCAGCCAGAATCTACTGATGTGTTTCCAGCAGTTAAACAGCAGGATCAAGAAAAACGGAAAGGGATTGTATAGCAAATAAAAGACATGGATCAGCATTACTTAAAAATACAGAACAAAAGAAAAACTATAGGAAGGTATTCTTTATTTTTTTATTTACTATATGTAAATCTGTAGTGCTTTGATGGGTTAGATCATGTAGATCAGTACTGCTTAGGAAATGGTACTACAAACATACCTTCCTATGAATAATAAATACAACAATATAAATCAAGATTCAAAGTGAATAGCGTGAGTTTTTTAATGAAAGAAATATACTTTAGGTATTTAATAATTTACAATGTTAAAACACTTACTTTTTACAGAAATAAGACAACGATCTATTAACTGTATTCCCAGACTTACAGTATCGTACCCAAGACCTACTTTGTGACGAGTGAAATTCTAGAGAGAGACGAATGCATACAAAAAAAGAATAAAAAGAAAAGACTTGAACCTTCAAGTCCTTTCAAGTACAGCTCAAAAGGAAGTAGTTAGGGAACTGAATTCAAAGGAACATGAGTTAGAATGGATAGCTATAAAAAGTGAACCTTTCAGAGGAAATAAAATAGCAAGGGCATGGAGTATGTGCAAAGGATGTAAAATCAAAACTCTAAGTGTAACTGAATAAAATTACTTCTAAGTCCAGCTTCCAGTGGAAGAGAATGAGTTAAGTAAAGACTTCGCTAAGAAAGGAGCATCTGTGAAAGTAAACTACTGGTCAAATAATACTAGTCGCTACAGAGATTGCTGGAGAAAACTCAGTAAGTAGCACGAGTCAGGCAAAAAGGAAAAAAGTCCAGTTGTATATTTACAGAGAAACCTCTTTATACATAGCAGATTTATAAACACCAGACCTTTAAAAGATACTTTTTTGACACAGAGCAAATCAAAGTGACACTT